AATTAAAAATAAATTGATTTTACTAATTTAAGCAATTCTTTCCCTCCACGTATCATTGCAAGTTCCTTTTTTATAGTTGAAGATAAAAACTAGAATAATAGCTGTCAAGATATTTATGAAATTGTTTATATGAACTGAGAATATTGTTTGTGCCAAAAAAAAAGGCAGAAATAAATTTAAAAAAGATATTAGATCGAGAAAGATGTTGAATAGGTTAGCAAAAACATTAAATTAATGCACTTAAGGGAATATTCAGGGAACGATGAGTATTCAATAAAATAACAATCGAAAAAAAAATTTCTGTCTATTGTGCAAGAACTAATTGATCATTGAACAGATAAATTTTAAAACTTGATATTAATTATTTTAAATATTTTATATAATTGGCAATCTGGGCAACTTCGCTCTTTTACACAGGGCAATGAACCCGCCCTCGGACATAAACACTAACATTGTTTGTGTGTTGGTTCCTTATCTCAGAATTTTCTCGGTACAGATAGTATTCTTAGCTGATTGTTACCACCATCAATTAACCGGGGTTATACTTAAGGAAAAGGAAGTCGTAATTGGTACCCCTGGTGGGACTCGCAATCGTAACAGGGAGTATTTAAATAGGTGCAAAAAATTTATATACGTTTACCCCTCGATATGTTGTAGATGCCAAAATCCAAGGTGAATAATAAGCCAACTGCCTACCCTAGCCTTGATTATCAGGCAATAGTGCGACGAATTGAGGAGCTCGAAAGAGAAAACGCTACACAAAAACAACAACTACTAGAACTCGAAGCACAAATCACACACATATATTTCCTAGAGCCAGTCATAGATACTATTAACAGAAAAATAAATAAATTAAAATTAGTCCGACAAAAAGACCTTACCCAAATAACCAACGAACTCAACAAATTTTATTTAACTGATTGTAATTTTAACAGATACTTTACCTTTCTTAATTCGGAAATTACACATATTTATAAAAAACTCCCGAATTATCGAGCACTACGGGATTTTCCAAACGAATTTGAATCGGTAGAGAATTTCAAAAGTGATCCGAAAGTCATGGAAAAGTTTAGTACCACTTTAGCTTATATTATATTATAAATGAACACATAATTAAATTTCATTAAACGTTTTGTATTATTTGTTCCTCTTAAAAATGGTTAAAACACGACGAGGGGGCAATAATGAAGAAACATGAGTTACGGCTCAGATTCACGGGGAAAACAAAGATAATTTGAGTGAAATTTTCCCATTAGAGGAGTCACCTCAGTCAAATACAGTGCGTGGAAATGATGGAAATATTTTTGAGGTCATAGGGGTCCAAAAGCAGCTAATGGCTTAAATTCTACCTCTCAACTCCGAGAATAATCCGGAACAAATTATCGACAGAGTAAATAAAGTCATTACACAAACGAACACACTAAAAGAACAATTGATGCGACTTACACATACGTACGATGCACTGGAGACCCACATAGAACGACTCACACAAACACAAAATCAAATACGTACTAAAAATGCACAACGTCAGGCAGAACTCATGAGACAATCAGAAATACTCCATAACTTAAATAAACAATTCGATCAACTTGCACTAAACGTAGAAAAAACAACACAAACATTTCAAAAACTCAATCAAACAGTCACGGCACAAAAACAAGCCATAGTAAATTTAGAACAGGAAGATGATCGTACATACGAGGCTATTGCTCAAAACAAAAAAGACGTGGACTCGCTCATAACCCGAATATTAAATAACGTACAAGGCAGAGGAGTTTCCCAATTGAAAGTAGATATACCCACTTTTAGCGCAGCTGCAAGTGATCGACCAATCAAATTCCTTAAAGCCTTGAAAACTTACATGGAAATAACTTCCATAGAAACTGACACGATTAAATTAGTATTATCTCAAGCATTAAAAGGCCCGACACTTGATTAGTTTGAGCACACCGAAGAAAAAATAAATTCCATGAATAATTTTGAAACTTTATTTTTGAATAAATATTGGAACACAACGGTACAAGCTAAAGTTTGGCGAGCGCTCGAATGGAATGCATACGAAGCCACAAATAATATGAGCCGTAGTTAATACGTGTTAAATTTGTATAGTTACGTAAAAATGTTATTAGCACCGCCCACTGAAGCGGAGGCCGTTGAGAAATTTGCAAATCAGTTTGACGAAGTCACACAGCAGTCTATAATTCTTCGAGGAATAAACAAAATTGACGATCTCATAAAACTCTTAGATTCGATGGATGCAGTAGGCGCGTTAAATAGCTCGATTACGATTCGAGAAAATTCATTCATAGATTCCAGGAGACAAATAAACTCAAGCCCTCCGCGGAATTATAGCAACTTCCGAACCTCAACACCATACCCGCAAATAGCAATTGGCGTGACCGCGGTAACAATACAAGTAACACCACCATAAACCGAAATATAAACTAAGGCCAACAAACCAACAATAACAATGATATTTCAAATCGACCATACGTAGAAAGACCACTAAGTAACTCATATAATCGAGGAACTCAGGAAGCTTAGATAAATTTAATTGAAGAAATCACCAATCAGGAAGACGAGTAAACGTTGTATCTAAAACCCCAAAAGATTCTGAAGCAGATATCTTACGAGATAAAACGACAGGAGGGGGCATTATAAGGACCAATGAATCAAAACATTGTCCAACTAAACTAAAAAAACCACTGTATAAATATCCAAGGAGAATTCCCAGTAAAGGCACTTGAATATTTGAGACCAATGGCATTGCCAGTAGTATTTACATTTAATAACCAATTTGAAGGGAAAAGGAAAGATGATGAGAAATCGGATACCATTAAAAATGCACACACAAATCAAAGCAAAAATTTTTCTTTAGTAAATCTGAAAATAAATACAGTGTTCAAAAATTTGAAACAAACATTACTAGAGAAACCGCANAGCAGCTAATGGCTTAAATTCTACCTCTCAACTCCGAGAATAATCCGGAACAAATTATCGACAGAGTAAATAAAGTCATTACACAAACGAACACACTAAAAGAACAATTGATGCGACTTACACATACGTACGATGCACTGGAGACCCACATGTGTTTCAATAACATCTATCAAAAAAACCTATGTGCGAGGAACATCCTTCAAAATCAATTACATTTAAAGTAGTATTTATTTATATTCTCAAGTGTGTAACAGTTCATTTAATTCTCATAAATATTTTTAAGAATTTTTGATTTCACTTGTATTTTTAATAGTCCTTTTTCAAAATATGCTACAGTTTTTTCGTTTAGGCAAATATTTTCCTCACCTCTACCTCGTTGAACTCACGTACGTAAGCTGTACACGGTACTAATTCTATACCTTTGCATTTTGTCAATTTATAAATCACTTTATTAGAATATTTTTTTGTGTTATCCATAGAATATTTTGTATAGTTACACCCAATTTATTTTCTACTAAATGTGAATAGTCACTTTAACAATTAATAGTCTCTCATTTTCGCCCAATATAACAGATTTTCGTTCATTATCTGTATTCATCTGATGGATATAAAAAATATTTTTTTCTGTTTTAGCCCATAATTCAAATAATGACTTAAGTTTTTTATAAATCATTATTATTATAAAATAATAAGCAAGCTAATTAGGAGCAGCGTTGGCTCAGTGGTAAGCGTGCTTGTTATTGATACAACGCAGTTCTAGGTTTCGTGGGTACGATTCCCGGTGAATGCAGATTTTTTCAAAAACTGTTTTCATCGGGAAAAGTTCCTACGTAACCCCAGCTGTTTCGGGGCAGGTTTTTCCGTGGAATTTTCCTTCAGAGCAATTCCAGGGTTTTTTCCTTGCCCCACAGGTTTTCGGGCCTGGGTGAATGCAAAATAGTGTTAGGGCTATAGGTAGGGATTAGCGGACCCGTTGCCTCGCCGGCCTTACCAGTGAGGAGTGGTCCCTGAAACATGGGGCTTCTCCGGGATGCTTATTAGATTAGATCCGATGCTTCGGTAGAAAGCGCCAGCTTAACCAGCTTAACCGGCGAGGAGTGGACGTCCTGGAATATGGAGTCTTCTCCGGAGAAAGACTACGTAGTGGTGAGTGGACCCGATGCAACATTGGTGCAGAGAGTGTTAGCTTAACTGGCAAGGTGTTCCACCGGAGATACTCACACTGTGCCTATGGATTCAGATAGGATATGAGAAAAAAGGTTTGGAAATGGGTGTTGGCAATACATCCCCACACATAGTTAGTAAGTGGGTGACCGCCACGACTAGGCCAGTAGGCTGTCGTGGTAACCCGATAGAAAAAAAAAAAAAGCAATAGCTATTGTTTATTGGTGATTTGAAGATTAACTGAATAGTAATAAAATTTATGTATAAGATGATTGTCATTTATTTCTTAAGCTTTTGTAAAAAAAAGCTTTACAAAATGTCTTACAAAATAATAACTGGAATGGCAATTTAACATTCACGGACAGTATTTCTCCGTTAAACGTTTACATTAAAGAAATTAATGTATCTCAGATAACTTCTAAGATAACCACCTGACTGCTGTCGTTCAGATAACTGTTGTCACTTCTTTTTATTATTGTATGTATTACAACTATTCAAACTGAAGGTTATAAAAGGTGAAATCTTAAAAAAGCTATATCTACAACCTTACGACTATAGGAACCTATGAACTGGTTGCAAGCTTGATTATTTATTTTTTTGTAGAGATCATATATTTAGTAAACAAACTAATACCAAATATTTTTTGATAGATTGGCCTTTACATTTTATTCGCCACAATTTTTTTTCATTTTATAAAACGATATCCTTTAACTTACAACAAATCCATGCTAACTCATTTAAAAAAAAAAAAAAAAAAAAAATGTAAAATGGGAAAAAAATAAAAGTCAAAATCTGACTAAGTTATCATGTCGCAGGGCAACCGAGGGAGTTGGATTAGCACCAGGTGTTCCTGGGGCACCAGGTGCACCAGGCACTGGCGATGGTACTGGCGAGATCGTCGGTGGACCAAGAACTCCACAACAGGTTGCTGCTCAGAAACGACTGCAGCAGACCCAGGCACAGGTTGACGAAGTCGTAGACATCATGAAGACAAATGTCGAAAAGGTTCTTGAGCGCGATCAAAAGCTCTCGGAACTTGACGATCGAGCTGGTAAGTAGTATTCTTCAACTCTGCTTATTTATTTTTTCATGCTGTTGGTTTTATGCCATGCCGCCATAATCAATATTAAGTTACTATTCCTGACCGCTTTTTAGTTTTGGATCTGTGTTTTGGCAATAATGATTGGTTTCATTGTCGTAAACAAATATCTTAGTTAAATGAAATATGGTGCATTGGCTTTGACTTTTTATATATGTTAGGTAGTTAGATTTGTTAGATTTACGATTTCTTTAAAGTGTAACAGCAAGTTAACGTTAAAATTTCGACTGTTATGTGTTTAGAATTTATAAATACTATAAGTACTTTGTTAGTATCCTGATATTAAAAATAATGTTATAAAAGTACGTTGACGTGTAAGTTATTTTTAAGAATAGTGTTACAGTTCTGATAAAAAAAATATTTAATGTAAGGTCCCAGACAGTTAATATATTGTTTTTCTGACTTTACTCAACTGCTACAGCAAACTTGAAAGGGCTAATACTTTTCAACTAACTTTTTTCTTAACCCAAAGCAGAGATAGTTACTTCTTCTCTATATCTTCAAGTAAGCTTGATCTTTTTAATCTGAGTTAGGTCTTTGTGCACAGAAATTTTTAAATTGACTACTTTTCTTACTAACGCGCTTAAAAATTACTCAACTTACGACAAGTTAGGCCAAGGTTATGCTACGATTATCTCAAGCTACTCCCAACTTGGGCTTTGGGACTGTGCCAAACTTTGTACTTTGTAAGTATGTGTTTGGCGTACCTTCGACAAAGCCTTGCACCAGCTTGCAAATTTAAAAAATGGATATGGGCCAAGCTAGGATTTTTTTTTTATTTTCAAAGTTATACTTCTACAGGCATATCATGAGCAAGAGTTAATCAACAATAATAACAAATTGGTTAACTTGAGAAAATGTGTGACGAAAGTGGATTTTGCATCCGTTACCCACGCTGCTGTAAGCGGTCTCGATATTAAAATATCGATTATTTTTTGTTATGGTATGATCCATAACTTATTTTTAATGTAAATATTTATTTACAAATTAATATTTTTTAGCAGAGCAGCTTTTCTATGTATTAATAAATATTTATTTATTATTTATCAGTTACTTTTACATTAAATAAACTATTGTTCTTACAACTTTTTTATATTTTTTCAAAATTTATTTTTCAAACTTTCATTTTGTATTCTACGAATACATTAATTAACTTTTTTGGGTTTTATTTTTCACAGCTTTACCATTCTTAACTAAAATCATTTTTTGGCTTAAGGAGATTTATCCTACGTTAGCAGGGAAAAAGTTTTGAGAGGTGAAAGGAGCGCAAATATGTGCAGCAATGATGACAATTGTTTTTGTCAAATAAATGTACTTTACTTGATCCGTTCTTTCTAAATTTTTTAATAAAAACAAGCTTATAGATCTGTTTAAAAACTTAATATAAAAGTAATCTTTCATACCAAAAAATTTCGAGATTTCTACGCATCGTATGAATGAAATTTAACGTGATTCTTTTATGATGTTACATGTAAACAAATTTTAAAAAAAAAAAGTATATGTAAAAAATGGGTACAATTCAACAATCTGCAATTTTACTAAAGTATTTTTTATACTTATTTGATCATGTGTTTGGTGTTTCAATAACATCTATCAAAAAAACCTATGTGCGAGGAACNAAATATGTATATTTAGAGCAACTTCGCTCTTTTACACAGGGCAACGAACCCGCCCTCCTACATATAAACACTAACATTGTTTGTGTGTTGGTTCGTAATCTTAGAGTCTCCTTGGTACATATAATATTCTTAGCCGATTGTTACCACCACCAATTATTTGGGTTTATACTCAAAGAAAGGTAAGTCGTAAATGGTATTCCTGGTGGGACTCGCAATCGTAAGAGGGAGTGTTTAAACGGGTGCAAAAAACTTTATTTAAACGTTTTTGTGCATAATTCGTTCCTCTTAAAAATGGTTAAAACACGATGAAGGGGCAATAATGAAGAAACACAACACTAATGGCTTAGATTCATGGGAAAAACGAAGGTAATATAAGTGGAATTTTTCCATTAGAGGAGTCACCTCAGTCTAATACAGTGGGTGGAAATGATGGAAATATTTTCGAGGTCATAGGGGTCCAAAAACAGCTAATGGCTGAAATCCTACCTCTCAACTCCGAGAATAATCCGGAACAAATTATCGACAGAGTAAATAAAGTTATTACACAAGCAAACACACTGAAAGAACAATCGATGCGACTTACACATACGTACGAAGCACTGGATACCCATATAGAATGACTCACACAAACACCAAATCAAATACGTACTAAAAACGCACAACGTCAGGCAGAACTCATTAGACAATCAAAAATACTTGATAACCTAAATAAACAATTCCGTCAACTTGCACTAAACATTGGAAAAACAACACAACTATTTCAAAAACTTAATCAAACAGTCACAGCACGAACACAAGCCATAGTAAATTTAGAACAGGAAAATGATTGTATATACGAGGCTATCGCTCAACACAAAAAAGACGTGGACTCGCTCATATCCCGAAAGTTAAATAATGTACAAGGCAGAGGAGTTTCCCAATTGAAAGTAGATTTACCCACTTTTAGTGCAGCTGCAAGTGATCGACCAATCAAATTCCTAAAAGCATTAAAAACTTACATTGAAATAACTGCTATAGAAACCGACACGATTAAATTAATATTATCTCAACCATGAAAAGGCCCGGGTTTTGATTGGTTTGAGCACACCGAAGAAAGAATAAATTCCATGAATAATTTTGGAACTTAATTTTTAAATAAATATTGGAACGCAACGGTACAAGCTAAAGTTCGTCAAGCACTCGAATAGAATGCATACGAAGCAACAAATAATATGAGCCGTAGCGAATATGTGTAAAATTTATACAGTTACGTGAAAATGTTATCAGCGCCACCAACCGAAGCGGAAGCCGTTGAAAAATTTGCAAATCATTTTGACGAAGTTACACAACAGTCTATAATTCTTCTGGGAATTCACAAAATTGACGATCTCATAAAACTTTTAGATTCTATGGATGCAGTAGGCGCGTTAAATAGCTCGATTACAATTCGAGAAAATTCATACATAGATTCCGGGAGACAAATAAACTCAAGCCCTACGCAGAATTATGGCAACTTCCGAACCTCAACACCAAACCCACCAAATAGCAATTGGCGTGACCATGGTAACAATACAAGTAACAACACTATAAACCAAAATATAAACTCAGGCCAACAAACCAACAATAACAAGAATATTTCAAATTGACCACACGTAGACAGACCACAAAGTAACTCATATAATCGAGGAACTTAGGAAGCTCAGATAAATTTAATTGAAGAAATCACTAATCAGAAAAACGAATAAACGTTGTATCTACAACCCTAAACGATTCTGAAGCAGATATCTTACGAGATAAAACGACAGGAGGGGGCATTATAAGGACCAATGAATCAAAACATTGTCCATTTAAACTTAAAAAAATCACTGTATGAATATCCAAGGGGAATTCCCATTAAAGACACTTGAATATTTAAAACCAATGGCATTCCCAGTAGTATTCACATTTGATATCCAGTTTGAAAGGAAAAGAACAGATGATAAGAAATCGGATACCATTGAAAATGCACACACAAATCAAAGCGAAAACTTTTCTTTAGTAAATCTGAAAATAAATACAGTGTTCGAAGATTTGAAACAAACATTACTAGAGAAACCGCAAAACGGAAATCTTTCAACCAGTAAAACTTTTGTATGCCCGGAAATAAATTTTGAAATTAAAAGAGTTAAGCTGGAGGCATTAATAGATACGGGAAGTAAATTACCAAGTACATCCGAATACATTCATGAGAAATATAACGACGCACGGAAAATTTTCCCGACTCCTCCGGTAATTAAATTTCCAACATGTAGATTTATTGGTAAAATTTTTCTTGAAGCTAATAAACAATCCAAGGCTGAAGTAAAAAAAAATACAAGTAAAATCGCACTCAAAGCCACCTCATGCGATGGGAATGAAAAAGGAATATACGTTGCAAATAGATCAATACAGGGGGCAGAGAAAAATTATTCTACCACAGAGACCAAAATATTAGCAATCGTTTCGATATTACACCAATTTTCTTCGTCCATATTGGATTGCAGTTTTAAAACATCATCAATCAAGAGAAGAAAAACCGTGGCAGCCATTTTATTAAGCCGATACATCAATAAAAAGAACCGAAAAAGTACCGAGGATTTCAATACACTAAAAATATTGGCAAGAAAACCAAACGATAATATACCTGAACAATCAAAATTGACATCTAACGAACGATCAAACGATGAAAAATGTCACATGACCAAACAAAACATAATAAATGGACAAGAATATAACCGGTATAAACTAGAAGGGACAATCCTGTATAAATTATGTAACCATAGAAAGAAAATTCTTTTGCAAACATGCCTCGCAAAAAAGCTCATTGTAATAATCAATAAACAATTGCTGTATGTTATGCAGGAATCAATTGATTATTTAACAGATAAATTTTAAAACTTGATAACAATTATTTTAAATATTTTATATAATCGGCAATCTGAGCAATTTCGCTCTTTTACAGAGGGCAACGAACCCGCCCTCCGACATATAAACACTAACATTGTTTGTGTGTTGGTTCCTAATCTTAGAGTTTCCTCGGTACAGATAATATTCTTAACTTGATAACAATTATTTTAAATATTTTATATAATCGGCAATCTGAGCAATTTCGCTCTTTTACAGAGGGCAACGAACCCATCCTCCGACATATAAACACTAACATTGTTTGTGTGTCGGTTCCTAATCTTAGAGTTCCCTTGGTACAGATAATATTTTTAGCCGATTGTTACCAAAACCAATTAACCGGGGTTATACTAAAAGAAAGGGAAGTCGTAGTCTTTTTCAAGAGTTTGTGGATCAAGTAATAGTGATGCCGATCTTGACCGACATGTAGTT